CTTCGGAAGGCATCAGGCTGTAGTCAAGATATTATTGCGTCAAACTAGAAGACCTGAAGTTGAGACAAGTTTCCAGTCGACATGGACAAAAGGAGTTGTTGGACTTATTGTACGTCAAGAAGATTTACCTTTCTCAATAAATGGCCTTTACTCCTGATATTATCATGAATCCTCATGATTTCGAGTAGGATGACTGTGAGTGGATACTTTTGTCAATGTATCAGTGTTCATTAGGAAAACTTATAAATATATTTAAAATAAAGTCGTTAATGGGCATGTAGGTCAACATTACATACCTCTGTGTTTTCGAGCTTAAGGTTCTGTCTGATAGTTACATCCTGATTGCGATGGTCATGTATGTGAGGTTTGTGATTTGTTCATTAAACTGACTATCCGACTTAATTTGCTTAGTTTCGCCACGTCACAAACCAATCAGTAGCGAATTTATTTGAAAAAGCCAGCTGCCTAATGATGATGAATAGTAAACAACATTATTATATAGTTTCTGAACCCGTGTCATAGATTTTTAGAGGCTTACCGGTAATATTAACCGAAGTTGATTCAATGTAGCACTTAAGCTACTTTGTCTACAGAGCTTAGTTTTCGTTTTCCTTTTAGTTCTCAAGTATTACTTATTGGATATATCATCTTTTTCATTTTGAACTGTTTGATATTATATATTAAATTATGTTTATGCTTCTATTCTAAGGTGGGTAAACTACTAGAAGTTTTGGGAAGCAAAGCGGGAGCAATCGAAGGGAAATTCGAGACGGCTCTGCGTTTTCAGGGATCCTGCAGAAGTCCTTTCACAAGTTTTGAGTGACCATGGATACCACTACCTTGGGAAAGAAATTTTGTATTCCGGAGTCACTGGAGCGCCACTCGAAGCATTTATTTACTTCGGCCCTGTCTATTATCAACGACTGAAACATATGGTAATGGATAAAGTAAGTGTTGACAAGAAGACTTTTTGCATTCCTGAGTCCTAATAACAGGCTAATCTGAATTATAACAACCAGTTTCGATGAATTTTTCATTTTTAAACAATTTGAATAGAATAATTTCATCTTTTTATACCTCTGTACTTGGTCTTTCAAGAGGTTCTTGAACCATAAGAATTACAAAACAAGCATCACAAATATATATATATATATATATATATATATATATATATATATATAAATTGTGTACAAAACGTAATCTTTAGTGAATAATACTTTTCCAGTGTATGATACATATAATAAGTCAACTAAAATTGAAAAGCTATTGCGATCTTTTATGATAAACATTTACGTAACCATCCTACAATCATTTGTATTTGCATTGGCTAAGCCAGAAAGCTATTTTTTCAGATGTGAGACTGTGGTAGAACTCCACTGTTGGCTATTACGAACTCTTAGAAGAGAAAGAAAATCTTCTTCCGATAACCACAGTGAAATCAGCCTGACCAATGTAGTCTGTAAAGTTCCTCCATCTGATTACAGGTGTCAGACAGCGAACCCGAAAAAACAAGGTTTTTCACTTGGGGGTGGGAGGAATTTTTCTTACAAACGTAGGTATAAAGGGGAACTTACTACCAACACCTGAGACTAGCTGTATTTCCTGACGTAAAGGTGATATTTCGACTCTGACTTTCGAGAGGCTTGCTTGCAGTGCCTCTGCCTCTCGCTAAAACAAAGGTATGACAAAAACTCAAAGTTGTATACTTGGACACCTATGAGCCAGCTGGAACTCAGGGTTAGAGATCTCTACATTGAATAGGATTTGCCCTCTTTCCAACTTTATGCAACCTTGTCGTCTACGGAAGTCACTATCCCATCTGTATCAGAAAACTCCTTAGTCGCGTGTGCAGATGACGTAGTCACAAAGATGAACATGTTAAGTACGGCGAGTGACAATTGGTTCCGGTCGTGTTTCTCACCTCCTAAATACTAATGCTTGTTGTTTCAAGGCTTGTTTGTGTTGATACATCATCTGACTATTGGGTGTGCAGTGGCTATATGTATTGACCGCTTAACTAATCAGGGAATGTACATCCAGGTTTGCTGCTTTCATTCTTATTTCAATAAATATAACCTTCATGCAGCATTAGCGTGGTATATGCAGAAGGAATGGAAGAATACTGTTAACTGAAGAACGACAGAATCTTTATGAAGGGATCTCGAGAAATGTATTATCTCGCCTGCCCTTCCATTAGTGTGAAGCTTGTAAAAAACCTCACCTCCCCTCCCCAGCAAGTAAAATGTAGCGCATCACATTGTTTCATGTGAATCATATTCATACTTGTTTGAAACTAGTGTATAATGTGATCTTCTTCTCATGGTTTACTTACCAAAGATGACCTTGACGTCTACAAAACTTTCAGTTCATAGGTCTTCTATTACGTAGAAAATGATTCCGAATTTGTTAAACATTGTACATCTACAAGTAGCTGGGGAACCGTAAACGCAAGAAAGTACTTGCTTCTCAGGTGTAAAAGTTAATTTAGGAACACAGGTTGTATTTCCTGGCATCAAGGCGTCATTTTGACACTGTCGATAGCGGTCTCGTGGCACGTTCTTGGATCGACAAGTGTACCAGATAGTATTCGAACAACTGTGGAACTATAAGGTCTTAGGTGAGTTGTGTATGTCAGGTGGTTCCCGTCAAAAATGTCCATTCTCAACTCTTACTCGGTTTTAGCATATATTTGATAATGGAAGTCTGCCTCTCCCTCTCTTACTTTACAGTGACTAACCCAGACACAGAAAACGCCAGCAGACAGACTAACATGCCAAAGTAGAACCTGGCATTGAAGTGAGTCGGCTTAAGTTGACATACTTCACACTAGCATGCGAAAAACAAGATACGGTAGATAAAGACTGATATCAAAGTATGCAAAGGTGTATAGCAGACAAAGGAAACTATTTGAAGATGAAGTCTTGTGAAACTATTCGAGCTTTAAAAGACATCAAAAGGTTGATATATGTGCACCGTTGTCACCGGTTTTCAGGTTTGTGATATAGACTCGCCAGTAATCAATTCCTTTGGTGTAGGGGATCCCAGTAAGGTAATGCCCACCTCCCCAACCCGACTAAGAACAACAGTCATGAACTTAGTGGATTGGTGCTACCCCGATCCGCTATTGCAACCGAATCCAAATTTTCCTAGCATCGTATATTGAATGCCAGTTAGGTATCCGATAATTATGTACTCAGGGATTTTTAACAAGATGTAAGACTAACTGATTCTCGCATGCTTGTCACAGGAAGATTTCTCTCCTTCCTTATTAACTGGAATGATTAGGTAAGGAGACCATGGAGAAGACGGAACTACCCCTATTTACCACTATAATTTGTCCCTTGGGTTCCTAGTGGAATATAGTGCTTCAGTAGCACATCTCCATTTCACTCTCTTCTCTGCAGTCTTTTTAACATGGCTCCACGACTACCCAGAAGCTTTCATTTCTTCCTCACTCGATCTCTCCTCCATGTCACTCTCGCCTCGTCGCCCAACTCGTCATTTCCTATTTGGGTTCCACTCGAGGATGTGGCGCGTGATGTCCTCAAACGGCCTTCTCAGTGTATGTTCAATCCAATCCATCTCCACTCTCTTCTGCATATTTGTTAGGCGATAGGTTCTTGGTTCGTTGCCAGCCAGCCAGCCAGAGTTCCTTGTTGCTTATTGTTTCTGGCCATCTGATCAGATCTTCAGTATCGAGTGAGCGTAGGCGGCAGCTGTTGATGAGTGTCTGTAATTTGTTGGAAATGCTTTTCGTAACGCGCCAAGTCTCTGAACTACTACATAGAAGCACTGACTTGACTGACTTAGTGTTAGAAATCCGGATCTTGTTCACGCTTTGTGCTGAATGCAGTGCAGTGCAGGTGTCTTCATCCCTAGGATACTGTTCGAGACATCCATACCCAGAGGTGAGACCTGCTTGTTTTTCTCAGGTTTTCTGTCTAACACTACTAACCAAGTGCAGGAACTTTAAAGACTATTTTGGTCATGCTGATTCCACTGTGGTTATTGGGTGAGAATTTTTCTTGCCTTAGTTACTGAAACTATCAGTATTTAGCAGTGTATTGGTCGAAAGTAAAAAGGGTGAGAAATATAATCCTAGTATTTTTATATACGATTGTATTCTGAAATTCCGTCGCTCGGTTGAGTTATAATGCTATTATTATTTTTTAGGTTCATGCTCGTTCTCGTGGTCCTGTTACTGCATTGACTCGTCAGCCTACAGAGGGTCGTAGTCGTGAAGGCGGCTTGCGAGTTGGAGAGATGGAACGAGATTGCTTTATCGCCTATGGAACATCACAGCTACTGCTGGAACGTCTTCTGCTTTCTAGTGATGCGTATGATGCTTGTGTTTGCGAGAAGTGTGGCTTGTTAGCTACATCGCCTAATTGGTGTCAGTATTGTCGAAGCAGTCGTCGGGTTGTTTCTGTGCGTATGCCTTATGCTTGCAAATTACTATTCCAGGAATTGATGTGCATGAGAATCCTACCACGTCTTCGCCTAAGGACTACCTATCAAAGTAGTGTACAAACAAGACCTGTATAGTTTTAAATACAATCCCTTTTATTAACTGTTTAGTTTTCTTCATCTACGATATTTAATTTCGTTGGTTGTTATCTATATACTTGCAACGCATCACGTTCTTGTCGATAATCGCCATAGCTTCCAATATCTATTTTGATGATTAGTGAATATCACGGTGTCAGAAAACAAAGCGGTGTGTATGTGCGGGGAACCATGTTGCGTAGTTTCTAGCTACCCATATAATGGTGTAGGTTATTAATAGACGTCGTAGACGAAGCTATTGACAGGAGATTAGATAGCGGAAATCGTATAGCTGTCAGCTGATTGATTAGTAGCCTGACACCTAGAATACCTGTAACGCTTGTCTCGTTTATATTTGTAACCAATTTTTTATCGATACGATGATATCACCTTATCCTCACACAATTCAAGATCCCAGGAAATTAAAGTACCACTTCTAGCGAGTAATTCGTTATTGAGAAGCAGAATTTGAGCGAACACTTGTTTTCAATAACTTCCTATTCAGGCGTTATAGTTATAAGTCCACAAGAACACGTGAAATACAATAAATCAGCCAAAAAAACTTAAGGCATTATGTTAAATTACGGTAATTTACTTAGTTGTAGTTAGTAAAAGAATCTAGGACACTCGTTTCGTCCTACTCGGGAGTCGTTAGCTAGATGTACCTGCACCCCAGTGAGTGGTGTTGTCCACACCGAGACTCGTACCCATCGATTCAAACACCAAGGCGTTATCCACTAGGCGATGGAGGCACGATATCCACCTCTTGTACAACGAGTATTAGTTATTACTATTTACGCATATACTTTAAATCCTCCGTTGTTTTACTGGGTCGAATTGTTCGACATTGAATGGCATATAGGCTTCTATGGGGTTGCCTCGATATTGCCTGAATGTTGTTAAGGTAATTTACTTGGTTGTGGTGTCCTGGATTTTTCTGCTAGCTACAATCAAGTCAGTTACCATAATTAACAGTCAGGCAATATCGAGGCATCTCCATAGGAGCCCATATGCCAAATGAGGTCGGACAATTCGATCCAGTAAAATAACGGAGAATTACAAGCATATGCATAAATAGTAATTATGTGAAATTATCTCAGTATCGAAACAGTGTTATAGGTAAATGGAGATCAAATCAAGTGGGTGTTTTACCAGGTGGAATAGTAATTAGTCTAGTACGTTAGATGTGCAATGAAATTAATATGGACAAAACAACTGCGAGATGAGGCGACATTTAGAGGTTATGATTCATTCATATGCATCTATCTGGGGTATGAATGTGTGTTTGTTTATTAAGGGCCTAATAATCACTGTGTAGTGATGAGTTACATTCAAGTAGGGTGGAAAATCATGTGAATACAATAAGGAATAACAAATGTGAAGTGTTACGTAGCGATCTGAAATGACTGCTAGTAGTTGTAAGAATAAACAAAGGTACAAAACTAATAGCAAGAAAATGAATGCTTATCAATGCAATAATAATACAGAAGAAAGGAGTTGGAGGTTGCAATTTGTGGTAGGAAAGTCCATAAAGAACGTGTCGACACTATTGTGGGTCAAGGTAGACAAAGTGGATGCACGTATTTCTTTTGGACACTTAGATCAAGTTTTTTTGTGGTTATATCTATGGCTTCAGCTATAGATGAGAGGCGTAGTCGTGCCCCTTTTAAGAGAATGCAAAAGACATAATAAATCAGAAAGGCATTATCTGCCTTGATTTAACGTCTAGTACCTACAAAAGGAGAAAGGACGCACTCTGTCACTTTTTTTCCTTAACCAATCTAGTACATGTTCACAAGCGCGCTTGGATAGAGCTCTCTGACTATGGCCTACGTAACTAGCTCTACAGGAGCAGTTGAACTCATAAATGCCATCAACAGTAATGTATCATCGGTTCGCTGTGTCAATAGTGTTTTAGTTTATAAGCTGACAAAAAGTTCGCCGAAGTGAATCCCCTTTCAACTGGTCTACTCAATCAGCATTTTAAGTTGTCTGAGGCAATATCGCCTTTGAAACTTGGTTTAAAATATAAAGGCTTCTTATCAACATTATCCTTCTCTAGGTCTCAACATGTACTTATGAAGTTTAGCTGACCATTTTGCTGCAATGTTATTTTCAGTTTATTTACTTCTTCAATATAGTCGTCAGAAAATATGTCTTATGCTGTAACTCAGGCATTTATCTAGGTTTCTATTGTATTGCATCGGTGTGAAACCGTGAAAAAGAATACATTGATCAGTTCATGCGTTCCTTCAAAAAATATTCCTCTTATTATATATATAACGGTCTTCCTAGTGAGAACACCAGAAATGACATGCCATTTCCCTGTTCTTCCTCACGGGCGAAGTTCATAACTGAGTGGACATTATTGATAGCACTTAAAATTTCTCTGTTGGGGTAATTGTTACAGATAATGAACGCATCGCCTATGTGCCGGTAATATTAGTCTAGTTTATCAGGTATGACCCTAAGTGAGGTGTTTTTGAGTTTGACATAGGACCCAGAGAACCCACTACAATCCCATCTGTTTGTTTACAGAATTCATTGTCGAACATAAAGTGAACACTCATGGCGGATTTTAACAGCAATTCCTTAACTCTTTCAGATGGGCTATGTAAGTCTGTCGTTCTGCTGATTGGTCTCAAATCTAGTTGACTGTTCCATAAACGGGATACCGGTAAATGATGATGCTGTATCTGATGATATCACCCACTTGTCTTTGATATTCATATTTTTGACATGTACAAAGTTGAGTACTTCTTTTACACTGGATCTCACCACTTCGCGATGCAGAGGTCCTAGCGCTCGCACTAAACAATTTGCTGCTGAGTGATATGACGTGTCTAGAATTGAGCGTAATGGAATTTGAGGCTTTTGGAACTTCGATAAGCCATACCCTCTAGGAATATATATGTGCTTGCAGGTTATAATGTATCGAATGTGGACTTAGAGAATAGGCTCTGCTCCATCATTGTACTTAGAGATGTTTCAGTCAGCGTTCTGTTACTTGTGCTATCTTTGTAGTCTCTTAATTTCTGAAAGTGTTTAGTCACTGTGATGGTGCATCTTACCTGCACAGTCACATTTAGTAAAACAAACAATGTGAGCGAAGAAATATTTCTTTTCAATTAGTTCCTCACCAACGGCTCTACACTAGTATAGCATTTTCAAACGTAAAATTACATACCAATCTAGTGGTGAGAGTTGTTCGACGAAAGATAGATAACCTTTCATTGAACAACTCTTACCACTAGATTGGTATGTAATTTTACGTTTGAAAATGCTATACTAGTGTAGAGCCATTGATGAGGAACTAGTTGGAAAGAAATATTTCTTCGCTCACATTGTTTGTCTTACTAAATGTCTAAATGGGAATTTTCGCATTACAGTCACATTTCCTTGTGATAACTATCGGGTCTCCTATCATGTTTAGTTATCATCTCTTTGAAGGTTCCGGATAGCATTTCGGTGTTTCTAAGTCAGTAGGCTTTAGAAGGGACTTATTAGATTTATCACACAATGGATCTTCTTGTCTACAGGATTACGTTTCGGACATAATTCGGTAACCATAGGCATATCATGATAACTTACCAACCTTGAGACATCCTTTATATAGTCCTGATTTCCTCGCCTCCTTTGTCATATCGAGTACGATTTTTCACCTATCCGGAACATATGCTAAGTTACTCCTGTTACGCGTACTAGGCAGGCCAATTAATAACGTTGTGAACCTTCATCGTCTCAGGTGTCTTTGGGATGTGTTGCCCATGCCTAGCCACCGCTAACCTTGACGTGCTATGCTAGGGGAAGAGGGTGGCCAGACCAAGACATCGCACTAGTCGGTGAGGTCCCTTATCGTTGACCTCAGTCGTGTGGAGGAGATGTAGACTCCCTAGTTGGGGTTCTCGATACGATAGAAATCATTGGTTGAGGACTCTTGGCGGCATGCGTGATATCGGCGACAATGGCACAGAAGTATTCACTATTTGATGAGCTTTACAGCTTGATTAGTCGCATTAACCTTCATCTTCAAATTGTTTATTCTCCCATACAACTTTGTCGACTTTGGTATCGCTCCTTTTCTTTGAATACTACTGTGAAGTGTGGCTACTGGGACCGATACAGTTCAGTGAGAGGATCTAAATTGACTTTGTCCATCTTTCATCCTAAACATGCTTCACACGAGATAGGAAATGATGAATCCTTCCAATTCTGGTAGGTACAGATGTTAGCCCCTTGGAATGTCACTTCATATATATTTGAAATATATCACCAACGACAGGTTTTTTCAAGGCAATCGACCAAAAATGGCACTCATGTTCAGTCCAAAATACGCCGTATCTTTATTTATGTTCAGTGTGCAGTAAGCTACTCGTGTATGTCGAGAATTTCGTCATGTCTCGACTCAATTCATGAAGCTCTGGTATTAGTTTGTAGTCTTAAAATAACGCGATGCATTGAAAATGTTGTTTGTCCTTAATTACTCAACACTATCCTCAGTGATGTTTTTGAAATGAAGACAGGAGTAAGGCAAGGTTGTCTACCATCGTCGATTACCTTCCTGATTGTGGTCAACTGAACCGGATCATGCAACAAACTGTGAGGAGCGAGAAGATTGCTATACGCTGACTGGACCGATGAAAAGACCCCAGAAGATTTGGATTTCACCAATGATGATTTATGTCTAATGCCACACAAACTCGAAGATCTACAGGCGCAAACTAACAAGTTCGCAGAAGAGGCAGCGAAGGAAAATGGGACTTCCTTCAGGTGAACGTAGAGAAGACAGAGGTGATAAAGATACCCAGACACCACCACCACCAACAACAACAAGCGCCAACAACCATCAACGGGAGAAATCTAAACGAAGTTGTCTCTCTCACCTACCTAGGCAGGATAGCATCGTTTCAACTACTACAGGCGGCACAGGCACAGATGACGACGTCAAAGTCAGCCAGGATCGGAAAGACACCAAGACAGGCCTTCATTAATCTGAAATCAGTGTGGAGATCTATTGCACTGCACTGTATTCAGCACAAAGCGTGAACAAGATCCAGATTTCTAACACTAAGTCAGTCAAGTCAGTGCTTCTATGTAATAGTTCAGAGACTTGGCGCGTTACGAAAAGCATTTCCAACAAATTACAGACACTCATCAACAGCTGCCGCCTACGCTCACTCGATACTGAAGATCTGATCAGATGGCCAGAAACAATAAGCAACAAGGAACTCTGACTGGCTGGCTGGCAACGAACCAAGAACCTATCGCCTAACAAATATGCAGAAGAGAGTGGAGATGGATTGGATTGAACATACACTGAGAAGGCCGTTTGAGGACATCACGCGCCACATCCTCGAGTGGAACCCAAATAGGAAATGACGAGTTGGGCGACCGAGGCGAGAGTGACATGGAGGAGAGATCGAGTGAGGAAGAAATGAAAGCTTCTGGGTAGTCGTGGAGCCATGTTAAAAAGACTGCAGAGAAGAGAGTGAAATGGAGATGTGCTACTGAAGCACTATGTTCCACTAGGAACCCAAGGGCAAATAATAATATCCCACCTACCACAATGTCACACAATCCTAACACTTCCTCATCTCTGACGAATAAACTTTCGTGTTCATTAATCAAACTGGTGTTGGTAGGTGCTTTTTATGAGAAGCCTCTATTACCTTTACTTCTGCATCCTCGTGTGTGGCAATTTACGTGGTCACCTCTCTGTTTGTCGTATGGATGACTGTGCCCACTTTTCTCAAGAGACCAGCACCCAGTATGGTTCAGCATATGCAGGCTGTCACAAGAAAAAGCTCGGGAATTTCACACTTTTCATTAGGTTAAATCAAATTAAGTGTCAGTGCACCCACGAACACTCATTGCCACACAGAAATAAAGTAGCCTTTGGTGTACATATGAAATGTACCCTTGTTTTAATCTCGATCTATAGCTTATCTGCTATCGAAAAGCGAGACTTGATCACGTGGTTTGTGTTTAACAACTGTATCGTACGTGCATTATTTTTCGTCAGGTTCTCAGTCCCCTGTTTGGGTTGAACGAGAGTAAACAGAAGTCGATTCGGAATGCGCTCGGCAATCTTGTGCAGTTCCTTGCATAAGCAATGAGCTACACGTAATGTATGAGGCCCAATGACACTACCTGGTTGCGTAAATCTCAGTAGGTGGTCGGGCTGTTTTCGAACCGGCGACCTACTGTTTGGAAGTCAGTTCCACAAACCGGTGAGCGAAAACTCCATCAGAAAACAACGGCATTGGACGATGGTGAGAACTTGGAGTCGGCAAACATTTCTCGCTGCCTCACATTACACAATGAGTGATCTTTGATGAACTCAATCGGTGAAGTCTATGCTGGCTTCGATGGCTAACGCTCTGCAAAAGATTTTTTTTATAACATTTTATTGTCAAAAAATGTCAGTAGGTAGGTATTCAAAATATAAAGTAGATTCAATTCACAGCACAGTTTGTACTAAAAACAGTTTTGGTAAGCGTAGGCTGATATTATGTTTTCCTGAGTTATCTGCAAATGAAAAGCAAAAGAGCGATGCTGTAGTGACACTGCGTAACGGCAAAAGCCCACCAACTGACCTCGAATTTCATCATGTTATGGAAATCTTTAGCTTCATGGGATTCACTGCTCCTTTTGTGTGCATTTGCTGACGGTAAACGGTTGCCTATTCTTTAATACTTATTAGCTAGAATTTGTCTAGAAGCCTAAATATTTGAGCAGTGATAACTGGCATGTGAATCATTTTGCCGGCAATTCTGGTCGCGACTCATACATTCTCGGCAGTGGTGCTCACAATTTGTAAGTTTCATTGCACCCAACTACGCACCTTTGAAGTCCTGTAGGGTCTAAGTTCAATCCCCAGGATCTTTGCAGTCTCTCATTAGCTGTTCCTGAATAGTCATTTTATTGAACATTCTCCAGCTCATTACATGCCGCTTCGTAGGCCGCCTATGTTTGATCTATCAGGAAGATGCCCAACACCACCAGCTTTTGCCCTGGCTTCTTGACCCACAGCAACTCTACTGAAATCCTTCACGAATTCCCCGACAACTCCATATTCCAATCCTACTGGTCAAGGTATATTTACCTGGAGGGTAGACAGCAACACCAATGACAAGCCCACTAGAGCAGGATATTATTAATTGGGAACTCAGTCAGTAATGACAAATACATTACACCTTACAGGAAAATGACATTTGCAAGAAATCTGCTGTTCAGCATACCAGCATTTATTGTTCCTGCTGTTTACATTTCTACTGGATAGTCTGCTTCCCTTTGGAATTTGCAGTAGACGATTTTCATCAATTCTTGTTTCCAGATGTTGCACGAGACACCAATGACACACATTCTTATAAGTAGAGATCGCTACAATATGAACTTGCGCAGTGAATCCAACTGCTCGACTAGACAATATTTGTACTAAAAGCGGCTGTACGAAAGTCGGTGTCATTACTAAAGAAACACAAACTTACAGGTGCTCGGGTTAAAACATCCAAGTAATTCGTGCTATCAGTTGATTATTAAAAAGTATGATAGGTCTGAACATAAAATTCAGTCATAAATTCGTTTTTCTGAATTAAGCATGCAACTGACCCACGCTCTAACGGATAAAGATATCCTCTTGTGCACTGGTGAAAGGACAAAAACGACACAGAAACTAACTGTTATAGGACATGTTACAAGGTACAACCAAATTGTCGGGACACTTGTAAGAATCCTTAAATCTGTAAAGCCTTTTTACAAAAAGTCATTCTGCTTCGAAACTTCGAGAAAAGGCGGGTGATAGTGTGCGTAAGTATTAGACTGGTGGGAGAGACAAAACGAATATAAAATGTTTTTCTCCAAATGCCCATTAATAGCCAAGGCCATTATAAACGTATATAAACCTTTGTATTTCGCGCATAGTTTGACGTTCTAATGTACTTTCTATTACCTTACCACTTTTTTTATTTACTAAGGGACTGAGCGATTTCACTCTTAAGTGACAAAGTTTCACTCTAAAGCACTCACTTAATTAAGGAGGATATGGTGTCTGCCCATGCGGTTGATTTCCTTGTGGCGGAAAAGGACCTGGTTGATTTGGCATCGCAGGATTTGAGAACGTTATTGTTTGTGGCAACATTCCCGGTTGAGAATAAGCTGCAGGTTGCTGAGGTGGCATTCCAGGTTGAGGATAAACTGTAGGTTGAGGAGGATACGCAGGAGGGTATTGAGATGTCATTGGATAACCATGATAAGCATTGTGTGCATTTTGTCCAACACCCATACCCATGTTTTGTAATCCATAGCCATCTCCTCCCGGACGCTTATCATAAAAATCAGAAGTAACAGGAAATTATAAGGTGTAGTGTTTGTGAAACTACAAAGACCAAACTGCAAACCAAGAAAATATTGCATCACACGAACTAAAATAAAAGTGTTTTGTATATCTTAAAACTAGAGTAGAAAGTTCGTCACTAAACGCTCAAAAAGTGCTATATTCATATTGGGGAAAGAAATATTGACACTTAAAGATGAGTGTTACTTCTTGAAACTATTCCCGACGATCAAAAAGTTTGAAGGGGATTTCAATATGCATAGAAAATGACCATTATTTACCATATTCACAAATTATTCGTAGAAAGCTGAGGTATATTTAGCCTAAACCATATGTTTCAAGGTAACGCAGCTCCACTCAAAAGTGTAAATACTGACAGACAGATTCGTACTCAAATAATACAGCATAGATTACATCAAAAACTAGATTAACTCTCAGAAACCCTGATAACACATGACTGCATCGAATGCCCGTAAGCACTAACCACACTTGCTGAAATACAGATATCGAATTATAAATCACCTACAAAATTAAGATTCCAGTATGGATTTTATCCTTTTGATGGAAATGTACGCAATCAAAACATTCTCTTAAGCGCACATAGTACTTTTTCAAACAAATGCATAAAACCACTGACTGAGTAAACAATGTACGGCGAACCAGTATGCACAGATGCATACATACATCATCATCATCATCATTATCAACATAGGACCAGGCATTACTGCGTAACGGTCCGAGTTGCCACACCTCATATCAGCACATCAAGTAAAAAGGTAGTGAGGTGAAGGATGAAGATAAGTGAATGCAGTCAAAAGAAATATAAAGTATGAGAAGAAAGGAAAGAGGAGTGACAAAATAGTGAGATTCGGTATAGCGTTGTTAAGATGAGGATAATGTGTGTATACATCTGCGCCACTGACTTCGGTTCTGAGCCATATCACCTAGGGTCTCCAACCACTGGTTCCTCTTGTCCCGTGGACCCCAACCACCTAGTCTGCATCGTCCTACATGGCTTAAACCAACAGTCAGAGACTTCATACATTGGTGCCATGTTTTAGTCTGGCCACCTCGGGCCTTTTTCCAGCCTGAACCCACCTCAGCCAACATTGTGTGACGAGGCAATCGGTGACTAGGCATACGTAGTACGTGTCCCAACCATCTCAGTCGATGAAGGTTCACAACCTCGTCGACTGACTTACCTCTTCTCCCTAAAACTCTACACCTAACTTCTGCATTACTCACATGGTGACACCACGGAATACGTCCTATACTACGAAGGCAACGGTGGTCAAATACCTGTAACCTTCTCATGTCTTCCACTTTCAATGGCCATGTTTCACAGCCATACAGTAGAACAGAGCGGACTGCTGTGCAGTACACGCGACCCTTAATAGACAAACGAATATCACGGCGGCGCCATAGGTGGCGCAAATTGGCAAAAGCCAATCGAGCCTTTTGTATCCGTGCAGAAATCTCATCGGCAACTAACCCACCGGAGTTGATCCTACTTCCCAGGTAAGTGAAGTGGTCAACACACTCAACCACTTCACTCTCTATTGTTAACCGCGGTACCGCTGAAGACCAGTCCTGGAGCAAAAATTTGCATTTGGGTGGTGAAAATCGCATCCCAAACATTCTCAAATTCCCACTCAAAGTGTTCAGAAGACTCTGCATCTTGTCAGCGTCTTCACCTAACAGGACTATGTCATCTGCATATTCTAGATCTAAGGAAAATTCACCTGTGGTCCGGTCAACGTCTTTGTAATTAGGTGACGAGAGGGAAACCTCCATAAGAATATCTATGATAAAATTAAATAAGAATGGGGATAGTGGGCATCCTTGACGGACACCACTTGATGAGTATAGCTCCCTGGACAACTCACCATAGGCTCTAACATGCCCACAAGTGTTCGAGTAGAGAGCTTTCAATAAGGTGATGTACTTACTAGGCACGCCTTTCAGTGACAGACACTGCCATAAGACTTCTCGATCAACGGAGTCAAATGCCGCCTTCAGGTCGAGAAATACAGCTATTGTCGGGCGTCTGTAAGCATGCCTATGTTCCAGGACCTGGCGCAGTGTGAATATTTGGTCGATACATCCACGGCCAGGTCTAAAGCCTGCCTGGTTTTCTCGGGCTTGCTGTTCCCGAGCTCCACTCAGGCGTCGGAGAATTATAGAACTTAGGATCTTAGACACTATGTTTGTCAGGCTGATTCCTCTGTGGTTATCACAAGAGGACTTCTCGCCTTTCTTGAAGACTGGGATGATCAGTGACTTAGACCAGTCGGAGGGGATCGTATTTGATTCCCATATACTGGCTAACACTTCCGTTAGCCTGACTAAGAGAACTCTACCACCATTCTTGTATACCTCAGCAGGTAGTCCGTCTGGTCCTGCTGCCCTTCCCCGTTTCAGGCTACCTACCGCTTTCTCGACTTCTTCTAGTGTTGGGGGACCTGTCTCTATGTCCCATTCAGGGTCCGACTGGATAGCGGGCAGCGCAATGGTGGCTGGAGGCCAGTTAAACTGTTCCTCAAAGTGTTCTGCCCATCGTCCCAGTCGCCTTCCCTGCGAGTGAATCGCCGAATCGCATACATACATACATACCGGAAGTTAAAAGTTGAGAATTCAAAAACATCACAGGGAAAACGGGAGAAAACTAAATTCCTTAAGACTTTGACATGAATCATTTTGAATTTCATTGACGACGAAAAAACAAAATATAAAGAAAGAGACAACCACTGGGAGAAATTACAAACATATAAACAAATATATGACTTTCCCTCTGAAAACGTTTATAAAACTTCACCGTACAATTAATGCACTAAATCGTTTGCGCATGAACAACTCCCAGAGACATTTAAATATCCTCCCACTACGCACACATTCAAACCCCTTATGTACAATTTGCACCAGAGATGTCTCTAACTAGCAGATAAGTAACCACCATTATGTATGTCAACCCGTTAATGACCACTTTGATAAGTACGATTACACAAAAAAAGTCATGGGCGGAATATATGAGGAAATATCCCGCCACGTGCATGTGGAAAAAAACCCTAAAAATATGCGTTTTTTCTAAAAAAAAATTTAGCAGGAGCTACACCACAATCGGAAAAGTGGAGTAAAATAGCAACAAGCATCACCTGGAACGAAAATATGAGGATATTCGACATGTGATTTCTAACAGGAAATAATATATTAAAGAAACCTTTCTACTCAACATTCATCTAAAAATGCATAACAAACTGTAAGAAAACAATGAGTGATACTGACACAGATACACTTTATCTAAACAATATCACTAATAATAATTGGAACATTGAGGAAGAACTCGAAACCTCAACAATGTAACCATGCAAAGAAGGGATGTCAGGAGGTTTATGTAGGATACACAACAGGATTGAGATTAGCATGGTATCTAAACCTACAAACTCGTTAAGAATAATGTAGTAAATATTACTGTTCTACTCTGTGAAATATTGAACAAACAAATTAAAGCAAAATTATACACTACCACAGTGCTCTAGTTCAACTCCTACGCTATTCGCTTCCCGAATTCGATCTGGGTAACTGGACAACACTATAACCATCCGCATAATAAGTTTTGCCTATAGCCCAACACATAATGCATGTGCCGGCTTCGGCTGCATCATACTAGCACGTTGCGGTGCACAAGTGAGTAGTTAAGTCAGGCAGAAAGGCACTTAGGTGGTACTTGGGAATCCCAGCTGAACGAACAGATACGGACGGAAAGTCTACTGCAACTGTGCTCAGATAACCATTTAATTGTAGCCAGCATAAACATCAGACATTAAAGAGAAGACGTCTAACGTGGCTTCCATCGACCTCAACTTAGCATTGGACTACATTGCTATAACTCATTGACGGAGAGGGTCAGTGGAAGATTGCCGCTATTTCTGGAGCACGTTCGGAGGGCGATTAGCCGGTGGTTCGGGCGCGTGGATGTCCCTGTCTAACTGAAAGTAGGACAACTGTAGCAACAAGGCCATTGAGAGTACAGATCGACAATGAGTGCACTAAAATCACTTTCAGTGAGAAACTGGTTCGACAGTTATCGGAACGGAACAATATCACTCATCCAAAAGAAGCTTTGCGCCATCCACAGTCTGCTGTAAAAAAAGCGTTCAAGACAGTAACTAACTCTCAAAGAGTGGTTAGAAACGGATTGCGGATGTCAACAGCTTCCTTGGAATTAATGAATACACGTGCGTACATAACTGCAGGATCTAAGCACAACGAGGAGCGAATGCGCCTCACATGTAAATTGACTGCGAACAGTTTGAGTATTGAAGGTTAAATAAATGAAAAAGACCGTTACAATGAATAAAAACAGAGTTATTAACACTGATCGAGGAACTGGGACGAAAATGTCGACGGTAAGCGAGACTATGATGGAAAAGGATCTAACAGCGATTTGCTCGGAGAACTGACTGAAATGATCGGTAGGACACTTTAAGGAACACTTCAACTGGCGTCCAGCTGAAATTCCGCTGCCCAATATCCAATTGGATGCTGACAAAGCATTGAGGTAGGCTTCTTAACTTTTGTAGAAGTTGGGAAGGCTCTAAGTAGTCTGCAACGGAGAAGGGCATTACAGTTGGACAAAATAGTAACAGAGATATTTAAAGATTATTGGTCAGGTCAACAAGCTAGCGTATGGGAGTCAAATATGATCCCTGCTGACTCGCCTTAATCCTTGATTATTCCGGTCTTCAAATAAAGTAAGTTCTCTTGTGATAAACAACAGGGTAATCAGTGTGAACACAGTGTTTAAGATTGAAGATTGTGTAATTATCAGAAGTCTAAGGGAAGCTTGGAAACAGTATAACCGAGAAAACCACGCAGCCATGTCACCAAGAGTACTCAACCACCGATTCCCATAGTCTGGAGGACTCCGACTAGGGAGTCAACATTTCCCCACACGACTGAGGTCAACGGCAAGGAACCCTATCGACTGGTGCCACATCTTGGTCTGGCCACCCTGAACTCTCTTCTAACCTAATCCAACTTCCCTTAACACGGTCTGTCGAGGTAGGCGGTGGCTCGGCATACGCAGTACATGACAAAGCCAACCCAGTCGACTATGGTTCACCAACCGACTTGCCCAGTACCCTTCATATGACCTCAACATTGCTTACATGGTGATTCTACAAAACGCGATCAATGCTACAACGACAACTGTGGTCAAAACCCTGAAATCCCTTCATGTCTTTGAGTTTTAATGACCATGTCTTACAGCCATATAACAGACAACGAACCGCAGCGGATATCTCGCCAGTGTGCACCATAGGTGATCCAAGTTGACAAACGTCAAGCGAGCCTTTTGTATTCGAGCTGGGATTTCGTCAGCAACCAGCACGTTCCGACTGATGCAACTCCCCAAGTAAGTGGAGTGGTCGACACATTACATCACTTCACTTCTCATCAATAAACTGGAGTATCTGCAGCAGACCAGTCGTGGAGCATACTCTAACATTTAACAGGTGCGAGACGCATACCTAGCATATCCAGATTTATGTTCAGCAGGTTCAAAAGACCCTGCATTTGTCAGCGTCTTCATTCAGCAAGACTATCGTCAGGATACTTCAATTGAAGCAGATGCCTGCCATCTAGAGAGTAGATCAATCCCTCTGGAGTCATACGTACCTATTTTTATGTCCATTAGTACGTCTATGATGAGGTTAAACAGGAACGGGGACAGTGGACATCGCTGGAGAACACGACTAGCTGTTGCCAAGTCACACGAGAACTCTCCACAAGCCCTTATGATGCAGCGTGAGTCCGGGCAGAGAGCTGTGATTAGCGTTATGTACTTTCTCGGTACTCCTTTCACAGTTAGACACTGCACAACACCTCACGGTTGACTGAGTCAAATGTCCCCTTCAAGTCCAGAAATACGGCAAGTGTCGGTCACCGGTATGTATGCCAGTGTTCCAGGACCTACCAGAGGGTAGGAATGTGGTGGATACACCCTCGTCCAGCTCTCTGAAACCTGTCTGGTTTTCTGGAGCTCCAGTTAGCTATGGGATGACTGTGGATCTTAGGATTTAGGACACTATTGGTCACGTTAATTCCTCTAGGGGTCACAAGAAGACTTTCATGCCTTCTAAACAACGATGATCAGTGAAGTAGGCCACTCTGACGGTGTTACCTCTCATTCCCACACACTACATAGTACCCCCATTTTAATTAGCAATCTCTTACCATCATCGTTGAAAGTTCTGGCGGCAAACTGTCAGGTCCTGCTACTTTCCATCGTTTCAGGTTCTATACAGAAATTCATTAACGCTCGCTAACCTTTGGGTGTATGTTACCAATTGTTTTTACCGCGGTTTCCAAAACAGTCTTAATATCATGCCAGGTTTCCTCAACATGAGCATTGCTGCCTAACTACTCTCGAAATGCGTATTTAGTGTCCTCATCTACCAATCGAGCACAGCTGGGCCTCATCGCCTTTTGTTTCCTGCGGCCAGTAAGGTGCAGACATACACGAGACCATACTAGTGCGTGGTCGGAGTCCAGACTGGTACTCCAGAAAAAGAGGGAATCCTTCAATGATCCTCTTCAATCATGACTTGCAGGAATGTGATCTACCTGTGTCCATCGCTAGCTTGAAGTCGGCGGACGCCATGTGAGACTTGCTTTATATGCCTAAAGTTAGTGCTGGTCAGAAATAAGTGATTGCCGGAACAATATTGCAATAGACGATCACCGTTGTCGTTTCGTTGGCATGGGATTCCGTAAAAAACCCAAGATGCCTTTTCGATTGGCTCAGCCTCCCTACTTCAGCGTTAAAGTCACGCGTTATTACGGCTACGTCTGAACTGATAGCTCCCTTTAGCAAAATTGACGCCTTTTTGTAGAATTCATGTTTTGCATCATCCAAACTACAATCTGTAAGTGCGTAGGTAGAAATTACGAATAGGCATCGTCTAGTCTCACAATCCTTCCTAGTCCCTACAGCTCCATTCAGTCGAACAGCACATAAACGACTGTCTGCAGGTAAGTATCCAGTGGAGGAGCTCACTTTTTCCTCTACAACCCAATACCATGCCTACACTGGCGATTTCACGAGAACTAGTCACTGAGTTTCCGGATACTCTTTAGCTGAATTTTGAAGATTCACTACTATGGTCAGGTCAATTCAATAACCACACTCAGGTCCCGTGTACGTGTCTTAGAGACGCAGCATACATCCATGGCCCGAAATCCCAGAGTTCTGGCGAGCGATGTTCACTGTCTCGTTTGGTGTAGAGTTCAAACGTTGAAAGCTACTACATGAAATCGATGGTGGGGTCTTAGGAGACTAGGAATGAGGTATCGATGACTTTGATTGTTGACAATGGTTGCAGAGTGAAATGTTGGGTACGGTGTAGGACGCCTAATATTAGAATGAGGAGGTGAAGGCAAAAGAGGAGGCAGGGTTGAGGAGGATATGTTTGATTGTGTCTTGTGTACTTCTGGGAGCTTGCGGTGGTTGACACTTCCCGGCTGTCTATACCGTGGAAGGGACATCTGCTTGAGGTGTTTTACACAGTCTTTTGTTGGATGTCATTTTGATACTTAGTTATTCTAACGTTCGCTAGAGGGGACCCATACCACCGCAGTGGAAGACTGAAAGGCAGGTGGAGTGTTATTTGGGAGGTTAACTTTTTCTAACCTTTCAAGTTTTAAAGGCAGCATCAGCGTGGCACTGCTGGTTATCTAAGGGAAGCACCTTACTGTTGTCACACCCCAATGCAGCCGGCAGTAGTGCGGCTTCCCACTCACTCCTATCGTAGTTTAGCAATTCACACTACAACGGTAACTGCTTTCCGTCTTACCACTATTCAGCAGACCTTTCTAGCAGGGTAGAACGTCGAGGAAACAAGCGTTCTAGCCAGCATAGCTCGTTGGGTGATGTCCAAGCCCGACCAACAGGTCAACGAAGCATCCATCGGCGGTGGTTGAGTTTTGGGAAGAAGCGGAAAGTCAGCCAACCAGGTTGTGAATCTACGTCCACTCAGGTGGCTGTATGGTTTAAGATGACTATAAACCTTTGGGTCATTTGTTGAAGCTCAGCTTCACCTTGTGAGGTTTAGAAAGCCAGGATATATGTTACGCATACCACATCAACGTCCATCTCGTCATAGAATGTTGGTTGAAGTAAGTTTAGGCTAGAAAAATATTACGGGTGATCAGAGTGAAACATGGCACCAGTCTCTGAAGGCTTTGAGTGTTGGTCTGAACCATCCCGGAAAAGTGGACTCCTCGACCGTGGTTGGCATCAAAACAGAAACCAGTGGTTGGAGACTCCAGGTGACATGGCTCAGAATCGATGTCCATGGCACAGATGTATCCACACCTTATCTTCATCTGAATTGTCATAATTGAATACAGTACTTTTTCAGTCCTTCTTCCTCATTTTACTACTTTCTACCTCTTTCAACTGCTTTCTTCGTAATTTTTTGGTCTTACATCTTAGTGTTTTCTACCTTAATGTGTTAATGAGGTGTGGAAGACTGGACCACTAGTACCAGGTCCTTCGCTGATTTTGTCTGTCTGTTAGTCAAATTTGGCACTAGTACCGATTACCAAATATATGACCCTGTACGCAAATATAAACTTGCTATATGGTACATTCCATTTGCCAAAACCATGACATTTGACTTGTAACGCGAAACAAAACAAGGAATAAGCTGAATGCCTGAGCCTGGTGTGCATGGGTTTATACAGTTAACCTCCATTCAGTTATCCCATGCTAACTGATATAAGTATGCATGAAACACACTACCACCACTAACGGTGTACAGAAATGTTATGAGTTTAAATCAACTACCTGATATCTCCGCATAAAGTTTTGATCGCAAGCCAGAGCACCATGAGGACAATACCCGCAGACACATCGATTTTTCTAGTAGGGATATTAGAAAATGAAGTTACTTACCTTCATCATTTTCCTTCTTAATTTTAAGCGGCGTTTTTCTATTTTTTCAGGTTTGTACTTACCCCCACGGCTACTGCTGGAGCTGCTGCTACTACTACTACTACTGCTACTATCCCTTCTTCATGACACTTCTTCTTACCCATTCAGACTTCGTGTTATAAAAACAGCAAAGGTTGCTTGGGTTCTATCTTAGTGGAATATGTCCTGTGTTTATAATGGTCAGTTGTTTTCGAGGTTCACAAATACCTGGAAGGACGGAAATAATAAATTAATCAGCTAGCTATAGGTTGTGTCTATAGACATGAAAATTTTGTGCAGTGTGGGGAGAAACAATTTACTATAAATATACTTGTGGTGAATATTTAAGCACAATGATGTCCTTTAACTTTGCTTGAAATCTTACCACAACTAAATGACATTATTGTGTGTAAATACTCATTACAAATGTATTGATAATAAATACTGGCTACTATATGGTGATCTCAAGGTTTGTAGGGAGACGCAGAGGGTCAACGGATATCTTAATAATAGTCAGTAATATCTCTTCATTCTGAAAGATATTTCAGGAATATCGTTTAGTTTTCAGCACGTCACATAACGCCAGCTGAACTTATATATATATATATATATATATATATATATATATATATATATATATATATATATGACTATTATTAAGATATCCGTTGACCCTCTGCGTCTCCCTACAAACCTTGAGATCACCATATAGTAGCCAGTGAAAACAGGCTTGATGCCAAGTAGTTTATGAAAGCAAGAAAGAGTAGTGGACCAAGAATGGAAGCTTGAGGTACCCTACTCAGCAACAAATTAGAAAAGAAATAAACTTTAACTAATTGCGACCGTGTTCAGGTAATTCCTAAACCGAGTCACTTCGTGTTTATACACAGGATATTATGATAAACCCTGTCAAAGGCTTCGGCAAACCAATATGAACTACTTATTTGCTCAACAGGGTTCGCTGGTTTTAAGCTATCAACAAGTTAGTGCTACATAACTTCCAAAGAAAAAATTCGCGTTCACAGTCAGTTTGGATTTAGCTCTTATTAAGTAATCAAGAAGTAAGGCATTTACTACTCTTTCCGCGAGGTCTACAACTGGAGATAACCAGGAAAACTACATAAAGTTATGGTGCACCCTTACTGACCGAAAGCAGCCTCACAGTAAAAATAAAGAACAAACACAGGTTGTAAATAAAAATTATTAATAATTCAGAAGCTAAATCCAAAACAAGTTATCAACATGAAAAGTCTTGTGGTGGTGTCGGAAGATGCCAACAAGATAAGTTGGATTTCCCCACTTATTACAAACAGACAGACGTAAATGTAGAACCTAAAACAAATATTCAAGTGGTTTTTGCCAAAGCTCATAGTTACACAAGAAGATCGAAAAAGAATGATACTGGGACGGTCAAGTGCATAAGAAGAAAGAGAATGAGTAGGCAAACACTAGGAAATGTCCAAACTTTCAGAGACTGAGGGATTCCATTTGTTTTCTTATGAGCATTACCACAGTGAAGACTTTCACTTGAAGGGTATATTGAATGGTTTATTGACAAAACCTTGTACTTCATCACGCGTGACACTACAACAGGTGGTGGAGCTAATTTTTACTGCCTTAAAGTTATACGAACAACTCTGCTCTCAGCAATCTGTACCTAAAGAATTGCCAAGTACTGTATGACATGATACATATAATTCTGGTCCTGTGTTCCCCTCCGCTTACCCCAGTAACTGAATCAATCTTGGCATGCTATCCGTAGACAGTACATCTTCACCGAGTATTTGCATATTTTCTGCTAAACACCTGGTACGCTAAGTAATCTTATTTGTCATATGACTTATATTAATTAACTAGTGTTTGGGGCTAATCACTATTGCCAGGTTACTGTTCATACTAAGTGATGACGCCCACATTTTTAACTTTCGGTGTGTAGTGAACTGGTTTTAACTTAATATTTGAGATGGATATTTTCTAAACAGTCGGATGTCCACCGAGACTACATATGGTGTGACGATATGCTGTTTTACACTTTCTCAGCCTCACTGAGAATAATAACATTTAGACATGAGCTCTTATAATTCATTCAAAATGAATTATCGTTATTATTATTTTTCTGTTTCAGACGTTTAGTATACTTTTCACATACAAATTCCGCTTACTATCTTTATTTATACAAATATATTTCAAAATCGGAGTCCGGTTAGGCTTTCCCTTCTTACATTTCTGTCCTCAATCTTCTAGATCCCGATAAAATGACTGGCTGGACAGGAATGTTATTTCACTACCAATGCAGTCACTCTCAAACTCCTAAGCTTTTCCGATCAGTACGAACCGGCTTGAAAAAGAGGCCTGCCAAGTCAACCAAACTTTACTACGCCGATTTTTGAATACTAGGAGTCATCATACACGCCCTGCTGCCAGAGATAAATGCTAGATTAAGCTTCAAAGAAGTTGGAGCTAAAAGATCAATATACCCCTTAGCCAGAAAGCATTATTCGGAGCTTATCCTCAGATCACTAGGCGAATATGAGGTTATTCATACAATTTGGCGACAAGAACCATCCACGAGTAGACAGTGGGAACTATCGTTTGAGGACGGTGGTGCCGGTGGAAAACCTCGTTTAAGCAACCCACAGAATGTCTGAAGGATATCTGACACTGTGCCCACGAAAACGGGACTTTTTAGGTCGCGCGGTGAAGTAAGAGCTGCAGAAGATAATTATTTATGGATGAGTTTTTCAAGTAATATCACATAAGATAGATGGTAGATATATTCGCTCAAGAACAGGCTTTGAACACCACATCTGGCTAGAAAACAGGAAAGCTTCCAACGGTACTAATGGAAGCTAAGTCCCAGGCGCAATGTGTCAGCTGCCACGGGAGTTTGATACTATGACAGACCATCATCACGGAAAGTGCGCTTGCTATTTTAGCATTCGGTGAAAGATAGTCCATAAGTCATTTTCCCACGTGGCACATGAGGACTCTGCTTCTAAATTCCCGATTCATACAGAAGCAGAAATAAGCGTTTATGCTTATTCATTGAAGGAAAAAAGATTTACAAATCTACTATGCTTCTCTAAAGTCCCTGCAACCAGGAACATCTAACTCGCCCTTTGTACACGAGGGTCAATGGTCACACACCCTTCTCAATGCCTCCTAGTTGCTTCATATCACGATAGACTGCGACCGTTCACTATGTCTTGGTCGGTCATGAGAAATAAGCTAATTAGTGAAGATATAATACGTGATATGCACTTGTGGACTTTTTAGGTCACAATTGCGTTGAGTCCTTAGTTGCTTGATTCTTCTTGTTTCGCAACACCGACCTAATCATACAGCTCGCCTTTCACAGTGCCTCGAAGAAATTTGCAAGCCATTGCATTAAGCTTCTGACAGGTTTTGCTTTCAGACAAGCTGTATCCACTCGGGAGGGAGCCGAATGAAATTCGACTGATGGCCTAGTTACCCATTTTGACGCATTATGAATTAGTTATCACAAGCCATTCTCACCTTGAGTCCCGTTAAGATTGTGCTACAGTTTCAAATTTTTCGCGTTAATGAACACGTTTTAAGAATTGGATGAAATGTTGATGCAGATGGACAAAGTGATCTGATCAGATTAGGAACACTGGCTATAATGTGCTCAGTTAGCATAGTGTGAATATTGATGTGTATTTGCATACTAGCGCGTGTTGTTTGAAAAGGGGAGTGACGTTCAGATAGATTCCTGTCATTTTTTGTGTTTACATATCAAAGGCTGTTGTATTATTGCTCTAATCGGAACATTATCCGATTAAAGTGGAACGGGAACTTTTGCTGGGTGAATTTCTGTAGTTTCTGCCTCATGGTGAACCCAATTTATGTGTTAGAAAAATGCTTGTGGTAGGGGCCAGGTGGCATTTCACAGTAGCCTCTGATATGCAGTGTAACGAATGTAAGAATTGGTTCCACGATAACTGCACAAGCCTCACACCCTCAGCATATGAGAGGCGCAGCAGAGCAGGAAGTGTTTGGCTTTGTACGTTGTGCTGCTCGGATATCCGCACTCTAGTAGAAGAAGCAAAAACACTTCCAAATACGATAACTAAGAAACTACCGTCAGAAGTCAAAGTCAATAAATGTGATGGTGATAATGACACAGCATTCAATGACACACAGATTGCTATGCAAAATTTTAAGGACATCCCACGACAAACTGCAAGCCGGGTGCGTAGGCTACCTACTAGGTTTGCTGACAGGAAGTATCTTCTTGTTCTCGCATCTCCAAAGCTAGCAGACCCAGTCTGAGAACTGCTGACCATAAGACTAAGTCTACTTCAAATGAAAGAAACAGCAGAGAAGCGCTGTCAGTTCCAACGATAGAACTATGGAGGCCGCAAGTCATACCCAAGTCGGCGACCCAATAATGGACGAAAATCACACAGAATGGGATGCAAGTCCGCCCTGAGGCTCTCAGCATCAAGGTCACTGAAGAAGGCCTTAGTAAACTTTGCATACTCAACCCTCAAAAATAACAAGTACTGGGTCTAAATGGTGTGCTAAGAAGCCAATAACGGTAACCGAGCCAGCTACCATCACTCCACAGAACAAAGACAAAGTAGAGCCCTTTAACAGGTCAGTAATCTTCCACGGAGTGGGAGAAAGTAGAGATCCGATCACGACCTTGGCAAGGCACAAAGTTTGACAAACCAACTTTTGCCAGAAAACACGCCGGGAGTCACTCTACTCAAGATATAAAGAGTAGGAAAACAAGAGACAGTCATTACTAAAAATAAGTTTCGGCTACTTATAGTCGTGTTCAAGTCAGCAGATGAGAAGGACCAGATTCTTAAGAATGCTCAGGCTTCAAGGGTCTAGAGGTGCCCACAAAACTGGATCGTATCCAAATATATTGAGCCACATGAATTAAACATAATTTTACTGTTAGGAAAGGCGGCAGCAACTATCAGTGAAAACGTTTGATCGGATAAACTATTGCAGAATTG